TGGCTTCTGTGATATATTTATATATCGATCGTTATCGAACATTTTTATCACCATATAATACCTGTGAAGCGTTCGCTAATTTGCAGTTTATATTTATACCACAAATTTCAGCACGTGATAATATTGAGTGTGCAGACACGCTCCCACTAGAGAGTTGATTATGATAAATACGTTCCCTGTTTAATTTCTATTGAGGTCAAGCAAATCAAATGATTCGATTATCGCACCAAACTTATGCAATGAGTAACACGATATATATTTAATTTTTCAGAAATGACAATTAATATTTCCTCGAGAAATGGAAAATTTTGTATCTCCAATTGTAGCTATTATTATAACATAATCTTGTCTATAATGTTATTCTTTAAAATAATACTCGCAGTTCCATTTATTTGAGCATTCTAAAACATGTTTCGCTCGTTATCGCATAACTGCGGCGTAATCGTAAACGTGCCAGCCTCGATTCAGATATGATGATTTTATTTGAATAACGTGTTGAACCATGCACTTCCGGAATATATGAGAGACAAATCTAACATTGTATTGCATGTAAAACGATGACAACTCAACTGTATAATCGACGTAAAAATTGGATAAGAACGAAGTCAACATCCGCGTAAATCATGCGAATAACCGATATGTCGAAAATAGCACATCGTGCTTCTTCCGAAGCTTAAATATCCAACAAAGATAAAAATTTGCTGATTGCAATTGACATCCTTGACAGCAGGGAAAATAAATGTTATCTTGCTATGCAGTGCATGAATTTAAAAAAATGATAGATAAGCTATAGATAAATGAACAAATTATCACTTTCGCATAAAAACTATACATATAGATACACATAGATACACCCATCATCCAACTAATACCATATTAAAGCAGCGAAAGAAATATTTCACTTATTTTTATACTGGACGAGAAACAACTGGTTTGTTTGCTTTGCTCAATTCTTTTTAGCTAAAATAGTTTTTCTAGTTATTACGAAAATAAAAACACTGGTTGAAAAGAAAGATTTTATTTCAATAAAATTGTGATGAAGTATTTTTACACTTCTCGACAAATAAACAATTCTCCAAAACATTATTAGTTTTCACAAAATAAAGATTACTTAAGATAATCAAATGACATAAATCAATAAAACGGAGATCAAATAATTGAACTAATTTATTTAAACGTAATAAATATATCAAGATTAATTTTTATGGTGTACGTAGTCAACTATGAAGCTGGCAATTAAAATTATATAATCTTCATAAATTTTAATAGAATAATTTTCTTTCATTTCTATGTTCTTATTAAAATTTGAATTAATATTGTTTTGAAAAAATGAGAGAACTTTTTAGTTCATATTTCAATCATCTAAATGATATCAAATATTTAAAGTGAAAAGAGACTTAAAAATAAAAATTCTTATAAAAAATGTTTCAATACAAGTCCTTGCATTTTAATTAAGATTATCATAATTACCTGACCACGCAGTTTTATTATTGCTACTTCCGCATGAGATAGTTAAAACTTGTGTTATTACATTTCAAAAATGATGGCAACATATGACAAATGGAAACTAAGTGATGTTGTTACAAGAAGCAATTAAACGTGTCTCACAACTTTGTTCAATGACATATTTATAAATGGATGATTTACTTGTACTCTGGACATTGACATGAATAATAACGTACTCAATGTGAGTCATTGTCCCTTACGAATTATAATAGATTATTTTAACCAACCAATGTGCTTAACTACTGTGTATGTGCTTGTGTCACAAAATTATGCGATTACATCCAAACCAAACAGTCATGCTTAAATTATGTACATAGTTGGCATCTGATGATTCAGACAGTTTACAAATTTATAAAGGGATAGTCTACATACTATTAGTATATTTCAGACAACAAACATACGCATGATTCACGCTCATTTGCACGACGTAGATATTCAAAAAAATTCATTCAACAAACAAAGTTATTCGGTTGTGAAACACTTAAATTTCTAACTTTGAAAAATAATTTTTTTAAGAATACTTATAAAAATCTAAAGAACGACAAAAGATAGCAAACAATTTCATAAATTATGGTTATAGAACTCGCCATGTTTATTCTAGTCACAAGTTATATGGTAAATTAAAACTCAACCTTTTCTAAGTGATATTTTCACGAAATGTCAATGTTTTAATCACTAAATAACCGCTAATTTTAAACCATTACATATTTTTATAATTACTTAGAAAAGAATTTCGCTGAATACAGATTTGGCGAGGCTTTCTTCTTTTTAATTAAGAAGAGTTGCTAATAGAAAGTGAATATGTTAATGGAACAAATATTATTCTTTATTCTAACAAATTTGACTTTTTAATATAAATTAGACTCTCAATAATATCCATTACACTTTATTTTTAAATATAATTTAAATATAACGTTTAATTGTAGAAACACACAATGTTTGAATCAAATATAAAATGCAAAAATGTGGCAGTCAATAAAATATTTGCGGAGGGACTTGACTTCAAATTCATCTTGTTATGCGTAATCACATTTCCAATATAAAGGCCCATCTGATCGGCTCATCATTATCGAATAACAAAACGCTTTGCGTCGCACACGCAATTCGCAGCAACGCAGCCCGTGCTTTGCGTACCTACTCCGAAGAACGTAGACGGGAAAAACAGACGTTGCACGTGGTTGGCGAGTGACCGCGTGTCTTCCACCCTTCCCCGCGTTCACTTTTCCTACCATCCTGTCACAAATGCGTTGGCCTGCATACGGGTATAAAAGCGAACGCGCGGCATCAGAACGGGTTAGTGCCTCTCACGCGCGTGAGAACGTATCGGGGATTCGTTCATCCTGTTCTCCAACGTTACAAGTTCTTTTGCGATACCATTAATCGTTAGAAACAGTGATTCATGAAACGATTGTAAATCGACGGAGTGTCAAAATCTTTGAGTGAAAAAAAACTCCATTTTTGTGAGTGATTTGAAAAAATAAGCCCAATTAAATTGGTTATGCCGGTGGAATTGGAATCGATGGCACCTATCGCTCACAAAACCATCTCCCACAATGGGTAGGCAACTATAAGACTTTTATTCGCTTTACATATCTTTCCTTTTTAGTGCACAAAGGATAGTACATTTTGCGTTGGTCTTTCCGGAATAAGCAGTACGCTTTGTAAAATCGAATTGTTTAATTGCAGAAGAGTTAAAATTATTTTTTAATTAATTAGTTTAAATTAATTTTATAGTAATTAAGAAGATATTTTTAAACTCTTCAAGCATTTCTGTGACCCTTTTATTACTACAAAATGTAATAAAATAACAAATGCATTTAATATATCACAATGAGTAAAATTATTTACAAATTAAAAGCACAACAGATTTCTCAAATACATTGAATTTATATTTAGCTTTAATATTTGTTTCAATCTAGCTTAAAATTTGTCGAACGTGCGGCATACACGTTTGGTCAGGCGATATATCAGTGGATTAACGTCGAAAGTTCTTTGTGTTATTTTTACGTTACTTTTTATATTTTCAGCATATGATGCGTTTCCCAAGCTTATTTAAATTCAATTGGTTTTTAATTAATAAAACTACCGCACGATTGTATGTCATCCGTTTCCTACTTGTTACACAACATTAAGTACTAATACGTGTCTCCAAATACTTGTTCGAAAAAGATTCAAACAGCTGATCCGCGAGTCCGACAGGTTTCCTCGTACCAGGCACGTTGACATTAATGACACACTTCCACCAGTTTTAGTATCAGCATCAAACGGCTTCTGATTTCAGAAAGAGAGAAAATATGTTATTGTGAATTAATTGAATGCTAATTATACCCTCTTGCTGATAGTCATTTATAACAATTCTCTTTATCTTGCTAATGAAGAAATCATTTCAACCGGAAAATGTCATATTATTAGCGCCTTCCGCACGTATTTCCTTCTTGTTAAGCTGTCTGTTAGAGTTCAATGTAGCTAGAGCAGCTTTCTATTATCCAATGTTTTACATTTAAAATATTTATTGAAGTTATACGTAAAAAACAGATTTTTGTTCCATTGAAGATGACTTCATTACAGATCGAAACATTCGATAGTACACGTATTAATGATATTTATTTAAATGACAATACATTTAGCAGTAATATAATAACTTACAACCAGTTCACAATTTACTTCCTCTTTTTCTAAAAAATTATATATATATAATAAATTTATTACTATTTATTAGAGCAGCCTATAAAAGTTTCATATATGACCCAGATAGCAATGTATGTCTAAAAGACAACCTAATGCCATCTTAAAGATGTCTTTTAGACATGCATGCTATCAGGGGAAGTATATAATAGCTGTAAATAAATTAAATCTAAAATATATGAAAACAGTTTGACCCAAATCTTTAAGCTTTACATACATGTATAATCTATGTTACTCCCATTTAAAACATAAATACACTTTTTATTTCTCTGAATTATAATTGAACGATAACACTATCTTTGCACTTCAAGAAGAATTTATTTTACCACTTATTTGCAACAATAAATATCTTATAATCTCTGCACTTAATAAATTGATTAATATATTGTCTACCGCTACATATTATGTGTTATATAAAATAATATTGCAATCTTACAACCCAACGTTGTACTCACTAAGAAAGAGATTTTATTCAAACATTAACTTGAGATACAACTGTAAAAAATGCACTAAAGAACTGATAAAACATTCTAATGACCCGATACTCCAAATTAATCACATTTAATACAAGAGAGATTACCTCATCAACTTTTATTATTATTTAAAAATGTTGTTACGACAATTTTCTTTATCTTTTGTTTAAGTCAAATGTATAGAGACCACTTTTGAATGAAACGTACATAATACCGAATAACAGCAACTAATGCAAAAGATGTAATTAAGTATAGCTTAGAAAATAATAAAGAGATGTAACAAGAAAATAGGTCTCCCCATCATAGAAGCTTGACGTTGCCAATTTTGCATTACAGGGAGAAGATGAATAAATTGTGCCGTCAACTCTCAATCGAGAGTCCAAGTGTGACCGGCCGGGATTGCGTCTTCAGCTTCGATGTACCCGTGCCGGATGTGCCGGCGCACGGTGCCCGCATCAGGGTAATGTGCGCCGGTGCTTGTTATCATCCCCGACGGTCGCCGAGTCTGACTAGCTTGACCTCGGTCTCGAGCGGCAGCAGTAGCCTGGCCGCCGACATGTCCGTGGAGAGCGAATACCCGGTGTCCCTGCCGCATCATGGGGTGCGCGACGCCGCTCTGTTCCCCGGCTATGAAGTGGCTGGCGTGATCGAGTCGTTCGGCACCGAGGTGCCCGAGGACCGCGAGCTCGCCGTGGGCGACCGCGTTATTCTTTATCCTTACGACGGCATTCCCAACGGCTACGTCGAATACCTGGTGGTGCACGATCTCAAGTACCTGATCAAGCTCCCGGACAGTATGTCACTCAGCGTGGGGGCTATGCTACCAGCCGGCGCACTTCTCGCCATGAACACCGTCTTTGCTGCGCACGAGCACGTGCAGGTACACAATTAATGGACAATTAGTGCGTCTTTTATATTACGTCTCGGTTTGGCTAAATTTATTTATTTATATATTGACTAAATTAACTCCACTATAGAAAATACTCTTAATAAATGTAACGAGAGTAATGTTCTAGGGACGAGTGACGATGACGTTCTTTAAAGCTTTCTTCAACGTATATTGCAGGCTTTATTGAAGGAGAGAGGCGAAGATAGCGTATGCAAGATTCTGGTCGTTGGCACTGGTGGCCTCGCTTTGTGGGCCCTCAGAATTGCGTCATATCACTTCAGTAACATGAGGGACAAAGTCACTACTACCATAGCCACGCTTAAGGACGACGGTCTTCTCATAGCTCAGGAATACCAACGGTAAATTTTATTCAATTTATCAATCAGACTCTCTCATATAATAAAATAATATATTTACTATTATTTAATTAGTAATGATTGACTATTAATTAACGAATATTTATTAGTTAATTAGTAACATGATTATTCGACATATCACAGTCATAAGTGTCTTTTAGTAGGCTCGCGAAAAGTACGAGCAAATTTTTGTATTACCTATATCGGGGCCATGTAAAGTGCTTACGTAAAAATTATTGACTCTCTCGTTTCTCCCTTCTTCTCTCGGTGCCCCTGAATGCCCGCTTCGTCATTTCATTCGGTTTATTCAGCAACAGTCGGCACGTCCGTTACAGGGTGAATGTGGTGCAGTGGAACGAAGACCTTTACGAGAAACAGCTGATTGAACGCACAATGGATGCATGCGGTGGGCAGGTGGACGTGGTAATCGACTTCGGCACGACCTCGCGCAACCTCCATCGCAGTATGCAGTGCCTAAACAAGAGCGGCGTAGTGTTCGTAATAAAAGAGGTTGCTGACCGGCTGCTGCCAAAGTTCAGCCGACGAGCGGAAGAACGGCAGCAATCCATCAGACCGGTAGAACCGGGCACGCTGGAGCAACTACGGGAGCTGGTGCAGCTGGTTGCCTCCGGCGACATCGAGCCGCCTCCACACACCGTGTATCCCGCTGAGGAGGCTATGGACGTCGTCCAGAAGCTCTGCCACTCAGAAATACAAGGCCGCGCAATTCTTCGCTTCTACCCTGCGGACTAGAGGCCTTCCCACTGACAGAATTCTCCGCGATCGCGGATCAGGCGACAGATTCGACGACAACAACCGAAAAAGTCAGGACCCGGCCCGGGCGATGAGAATTGTACGTTACTAAGGGTGTGCGTTTCGAAATTGCGAAACTCAGAAAGACTATCGAATGCCGAAGTAGTTGTTAATCCATACTGAGGGCCGGAGTTTATATAAGGCATTGACGTGCGTACGTCCTATAGGGCGAAAAGATAGCTTGCATGTGAAGGGACGTTTGACGAACGTAAAGATGGTTTTCGTGGAGTAAAGTGACACTTTAACTCGGAGAAAGATTTGACCCACCGGAGATCTGACAAAACCCATAAAACTGGTCGATATACGCATTATTACGAATGACAAGAATATTGACAGAAGAACGGAACGACGGAACGGGTTCCGATTAGCTGGAACATGTAGACGGACATGAATCATTAACTCAACAAAATCTTGTAAAACCAGCAACACGAAATACCGCGCGAACGCAATTTAACTTGATTTCTAGTATTTCATTGATTAACCGCTCTTTTCAAGGTTGAGAAACGTGTCATCTTTGAAGGAAAATTCTCATCGTACAATAAACAAAATCTTTCCTGCAAAAAATTTTCTTTTGACAATTTGCTGACGAAACAGGGCAAAGTTTTCGCTTATCATTTGATGGATACATCACTTTGAGTCTTTTAAAAAGACAACGAGCAATTAAATCTCGCAAATAGACAACCATACGGTGAGATAAATTGAGAAGCAAGATAACAACTTTAGATAACACGACAAAAATGACATAAAGTCGCCACGCCGACGGTGCGTTATCGTCGAAGAAGCGACGCTCTCTACTTCCTTTTAATGGATGTCTAATATTTGTTATTGTCTTGGCACAAAATAAAGTCCAAGATAACGTTAAGATTTAAGCATACTTATGCTGAACATACTAAAAAAATTATGAACAGTTAATGGTATGCTGCTTTTGTAATTGAGAATGGAACTTTTGAATGGAGAACACGCGGAGATAAAAGCAATATACAATTGCGCGACCCTTCGATACGCGTGAAGCTTTAGCGCTATCAAAACGCGTACGATAATAAGATAATCTCGACTTCCATCGATGTGTATTGATACTTTCACTAAAAATTAATGAATGTCGGCAACTGCAAAATAGTCATATTAACTGTAAATGGTCTTTAATATTTTAATAGCTAATTGGTATTTCAAATCACTGATACCTAGAAACAGCAAAATGGCTTCAATCGAATATTAACTATCCTACTTAATTATATTGCAGCCACATTACAGCTAATAATGGCTATTTAAAGTTGCTGATGTTTGTAGAAATGCTAACGGCACGAAAGGGATTAAAGTTAATATTTTTGCTGGAAACAGATGAAGAAAAATGTTAAAGGTTTTTTCTATGTTATTTCATTGATATCGCTGTTACGTGTTCGAGCAGAAGGTTCGGAAAGAAGTCTAGTATTCAAATGTTCGGTATGTAATTTCAAACTACTTTGTTCAATTACATCAAATGTAAGATACTGTTAAACAGCCGTGTTTAATGTACATAAACATAACGAGAATATAGGTTGGTTTGCTACAACAAATTTGATATGAATAGAAAGATTTTAGGGTCTGGATATATTTATACTAATTTTGTGATGAGATGAATTGCGTTTATGTTGAACACACATTTATTTTAAGCGGTATTCTTTATCATTAATGAGAAATCTTTCGACAATAGTGGCCACAAATTGATGTCTCTTGTAATTATCTAAAATATATAGAGTCACTAATGTGTGTGTAACTGTTCCTCGATAATTAGAGGACAGAAGATACTCCTGACGCAGTACAAAAGATACCACTGCGGAACCCAAAACAAGTCCGATATTTATGAGCACACTGCAATGGATATTGCAGCGCAGGATCAAACATGTATATTTAATGTCAATTCAGGAATAATAATCGACCGGATGCGCCAGAATACGAGCGCCTAGGATAAGTTTCCCGTTAAAATAAGAGCGTAGTAAATATCTGTCCTGTCATAAAGTGGAGATGCTATAGCGAGGTAAATCAAGCGATATAAACCTCGGTGAATAACGCAGCCAAAAAGCTAGAATTGACAAGATGCAAAGTTACTTATTTACAAGCGAATATTGAAAAGAATTATCGCTTCGTAAATGGGCGCAAGTTGTATTTCGTATAATTAAAAAATGATTAAAACGAATTCCTCCGTAACGCATATCTAGGATGATTGTTTAAGTGTTAGATGTGAAAAGTAGAATATTCCTCCTGGAAATTTTTTTACTAAAAGTGCTATAAAATTGATAAAAAGTGAAATAAAAGTTATTGAAAAATTACTGAATGTATCTGAAAATAAATCGTGAGTTTCCTTCTGAAAGTCAACGTAATGCTGTGAAATATAATAAATGTATACGTCTTTTAAAGTATACTGCTGAAAAGTAATAAAAGAAATTATAAAATATTTTAGATATAAATTTACATTAAATTTAACTAAAAACTACGTTACTTTTTAATAAAAAAAATTTTGAAATAATTTTTCATTAAATTTGTACTAAAATATTGATGAAATGATAATGAAACGAGTCAATTGAGACAGGGATTTTCAAAGATTTTTATATTCCAGCAAAATTTTATTCTACGTATTATTAGTAAAATATTCCAGGAATCATAACCGCAAAAATATTTTAATCGATATACAGACATATTTAACCATGCTGAGTCTCTTAGCATATTTTCCAAATCAAACACAATGAAGTAATGAGTTAAACTTAAACGCATTAGCTCTGGTTACTTCTGATAATATTTTTCTAATTAAACTTCCTCTTGAGGTCTAGAAAGTCATCTCGGTCTGTCTCGTTAATATGTTTATAGTACGCCACTTTATGGTATTGGACAAATATTCGCGTAAAGAGTACGTTAAGATCCTATCCGATATATATTGAGATTGTATTTAAAGCATGTAAAGATGCACGTGAATTGCGTTTCAAGAAGAATGAGAGATCGTATTGGACGAGTGGTTCCACGCAAACCGGGCTTTGCCGTCTTGTCTGCCGACGATTTCGCGAAGCTAAAACAGGACATCACGAATTCAAATCTTATCATTAACCGGCACATTAAGATAATACTTTATCGAGCGTGTGCACTCGTGTCCGGAATATCTCGTTGATCGTCGTTTAGATCAGTATTTACCTTTTGCTTAGTGTAATTTATTGTAAGTCCATTTCGCGTAAACACTTGCGTCACGATGCTCGCGTCAATCGTAAAGCAGTCGCAAGTCGCTGTACCTCAGAAAGACTGTTCTGTTTATTTTAAGCGGTATACCAGTAAATACCCTCTTTTGTTATTTTTTATTGTATGTACATTTAGGCAATAGCTTAGGGCCGTGACACATACATTGTGTAACAATATGTAGTACATGATTGTAGTAGTAAACGCGTTATTATATTACATCGGCAAAATGTCTTATTTTCCTTTTTCTAAATAACGTGTTTCAATTTTTTTCAATTAATCCCTATAAGCTACATCGAATATTTCAAATTTCTTGTATATGTTTATTCAAACTACCAAGGATTGTAAATACATGTATAGTAATAAAAACGATTATTAGAAGAGAAATAGAATAATATCTGGCACACTGTTTTGCATCAATAAACAAGATATAATATTAACGTAATGCTCGGCCACGTAATGAGGCACTAGTAGACTCTTAAATTGACTTGCTTTGAAACATTTCCGAGAATGTGTTTGAGAATAACTTCGTAATATCAAGTAACTTTGTTCGGTCATGGTCAGAAAGGTTGTCCGACGTTTTACAATAAGTTTACGCTTGCGTCTTTGACGTAAGCTATTACGTTGCTTTGTGCTCCGACTGATAAGGGGCAGTGCCACTACACAATATTTTGACATCCCCACTTTCAGGGTATTTTCAGCGCATGCACGTAACAGTTAAGCCAATGGCACATGATATTATTTCTCCTACTAAATTGCTTACGAGAGCCAATCAAGATACAGAATTTTAAACTAATAACTTAAGTGCCCATCTACAATAGAAATTTAATTATACATATATGCAATATAGCATGTATTACAAATACATATGCTTCGCATGCCTGGAAGCAACAGTAGAATTACATTTCTGCACAAATGCATATAATACTGTATAATTTATTAAATTCTGTAAGACTGTACATAAGAAATTTTTTCCAAGGCATATGTATTTAAAATAAACACACTATAGAAAGGGATTTTGTATAGGTGTACACATATCTTACATATTTTTATTTTTTGTATGTTTAAAATAAATATTTTTTATACTTTCTGAAAATACAGTTTGTATTAATAAGGTGAGTATCATAAAAAAATTCAAGAGTTGTATTTATCGACTCCCAGCGATTTCACGTAAACTTTATTATTATCTTTTCTGTGCAGTATTTTCTCCACAAGGTTCATATTGTGATGCACTCGCTTTAGCAACAGATATTCTGCGATAGTCCTCGAGTACATAGATTGCAGGATTACGCTACACTTTTACAATCTTAACTTCTTCGCAGGTATTAACGCGTCAAGCATTTATTATACGATTAAATATGCAAATTGCAAATTTTTATAGGGGGATTTTCGGGATCACTGATTACGATTTTCACATCACAGCATTGTAGGAATATTAATTCAACATGGCAGAATCAATATGGCGGATTGTGTATTTGAAAAATCAACAGCCTTTGATTATTGCAACTTATTGAGATCTGAAGAGTGATATAAAAGTTATTTAAAAATAATACTTAAGAAATTTTAATTTTAAAGACAAATATCTCGCTGAAGAAGCATTATAAAGAAAAATATTAGGAATTTATGAGATTATTTTCACCTACACTATATGTTCACGAGAAATCACTAGCCTTTACTGAGACACCCTCTATATCCAATAGAGTTCGCTGGGGTAGTTTTCTGTAACTGCCACACGAAACCCCTATCCATTATACAACTCCAGATCCCAGATGTTCCGTGAGTTTTCCTGTGTGAGGTTATAAAGGCTTATTAAAGCTCAAATTCGAACATATGAAATTTCGTGAAGCAATCAATTGTAAGTTTTTAATTTTAGCTCCACAAACAATATTTCTTATTTTCAAATATGCAAACACTGATCTCTACTTTATACATATAGGTGCTGTTTTAAAGGCATTCCCTGTTGGCAATTTGATAGACGGAAAGGAAAATGTGTTGGTTCTGTACAAATAATCAATGGAAAGTCTAGCATTGCAAATTCTTCAGAACCAGTAATTGTAATTATTGTATTGTTATCTGATTATTGTTATGTAAGATAAGAAAATATCGAAAGAGAGTCATATCCTAATTTTGGAAACTGTCAATTAAATAAGATAGATGACTGATTAATTAGGTATGTCTTTTATACTTTTATATCTTTTAACATTTAGTCTGTTCCTTCAGGAATTTTTACGCTTATTACAATTAGATGAAAAGTAGAGCACTTACAGAACGATGAAAAAACTATTTGTTTCTATTACTTTTGGAATGTTTTAAAATAAAATATTTTATTCTGTTCCTTCGATTTTGATACTTTTCTGAATCTCAGAAAACAAGAAGTATTTTAATTGTTCTATCCTTCATTGTACATATGAAGGAACAGTATATAAGGTAGCAAGTAATTTTGAAAATAAAAATATCGAAGTTATTAGTGACCTAAATTGAGATCTGACTCTTTCAAGATACCTTATTTAATTTAGATTTTAGATCTTTGTAGATACATTGTATGTCACGATAATTATCGTCTTTCTGTATCCAGATTGCTATTTTGAAAACGTGTTCAGTTTGGAGGTTTAAAGGTTTGCTTTCTGTTATGCTAGTTTTTCGAATTGTTATTGCATTCTCTAGTTAGAAGAGAGAAAAGATTTGTTATTTTTGTGTTAATGTATGTGATGTTTTTATTTCCTATTTTATTATACCAATGCTTGGTTTAGCATCAGGTAAACCAATGACACGGATGCATTGTGTTAGCATGTATCGACGTTATTTGCTTATCTGATTCTACTTTATACACTAGTAAAAAAAAACAAGAAACACTTCGCTAAAAAAGACTATATTCAAATCACTGCAACTCTGCGAAAAATCATAGATGAATAATTCAGAAAGCATTTTCAGGCTTGAAATTTATACTTTAATGTGCTATCAACAGTTTTCTAACTCCTTTTCATCTTTACTATCCTATGTTTTAATAAAGAACAGTGTTTGTCCCTTGAAATTACGTATTTGACGTTCTGCAGCTGGATAAAAGATTTGTTCTTGAAAAATACAACAGAAATATCATAAAGTACAACTTTTCTCCTACAAAATGCTTTCTTAAAAAATTTCCTATGATTTATTTTTGTAAGTTACATGATTTTGAAGCCAACGATACATTTTTTTGAAAAATGACGTTTGCCGCCGATATCAGCGTTCTTCAATATGGAGATTGCCGTTTGAATTGGGTATATTTATTAGAATATCATATGCATGTATGGGGGTAAATTTTGATGTAGGTTTGGATTTACGTGTATCATCGTCATCATCGTCAGTTACGTGATATCACAGCGGAACTTTCCTATCTTTGACACCAGGTATCAGCGTTTTCTAAGCCAACAGCATGATTATGCCACATTATGTCATATTATAAACACACTGACATAGCCACATTTACATACACACTGTGCACTCTCTCTCTCCCTCTCCCTCTCTCCCCCCTCCTCCCTCCTACTCCCCCTTCTCCAACCCTCCCCAGTGAGAAATGACTCGTCAATCGATGTCGAAACGATGTCGAATTGACATCGACACCGTCAAATTAATGTCGAATTGACGTCGAATTTGACAGTGTCGATGTCAATTCGACATCATTTCGACGAATTATTTCTCACTGGGTCTCTTTCCGACTTTATCTGCTTTTACGTGCTTAATATTTTTAACCACTGCAGATCTCAAAATACTAAACAGAATTATTAAAAATAATTAAGCTTTTTTAGACGACCATAACCGACCCGTGTTTTAATAGAGAAATTTTATTGCGTTTTAATAGAGAAAAATATTACTTCAATCAGGGTTTGAACCTGGACTTTTCTACTCTCTAGGTGGGCGTTTCACCAATTTCAAACATGCGTCATTGGTCGAATAATGTTAGAAGTTAAAAACCAATCGGCACTCGAGCTATAGTCTAGTCAGAGACAAACCATACAATGAAAAAACGAGCGAGCTCTTGCTGCATTTGTTTTAATTAAGCCTTGGTTTCCATGTACGCATTACCATGCATGCACGTCACAAAAATTGTAATGATTTATCAATACAAACTAAATAAAATAATCATATTATGTACAAAATAGTAAAATGTACATAATAAAACTTAAATTATAAGTCTTTTTACTGTAAAACCTAGTTAAATTCACTTTTTAAAGTTTCTTTGCGTATTATCCGGTTATCCGGTAGTAATGTCGAATTATCCGGTATTCAGTTGTTCGACAAATACACTATCTGGCACATCCCTAATAAACATATAATCAATTTGAAACATTTGTGGACGACATTTTAAAGTGGCTATTTTCAACACTATATGAAAGCTTAAATATCATTTTGCAAAAACTTGTGTGAACATTAATTCATTCACATTTCCATAATATCTCTGAACTAGAGCATCTTGTCCCTAATTACCCTATATTTCACTGAAAATAATATCTATTTTTCGATCTTCTATGTCCAATATCACAAATAATCTTTCTAATAATTTCAGGGGAAAAAACGTATTTTATATCGAGCACTGCATAAAATAGAACAATTAAAATGACGTTAGTTGAAGAATGGTTGTGGAAACATTACACAAAAAAAACTTTTGACATAATAATATGTAATCATTGCGAAGAAGTTTTTTCCAAACAAAATAGACTGCAAATCTTAAAACATCACTTATACGATAAACATGAAATAACGGAATTAGACGAACATCCAGACCGTGACAATATACAGCAAAATTACAAAATAACAAGTCTAACGGCAACATGCAACCATTGTATGAAAAGAATTGATCTTGCAATTATTGGTGTGAGCATTTTATTAATTCATTTAAAACTTAAGCACTCAGACAAATATAATTTAAAAGAGAGAAAAATATCACATATATGGAACAGATACGATGAAAAGGGCGACAATGTAATGTGCAAAGTATGTAAGAAAACAATAAAATTAAATAGTAAACATTTAACATCAGGTTTACGCCGACACTTAATTCATTGTCGGTAAGTACAAATAACATATTGATGATTACAAAAACATAACGTAATGGTGAAACAATATCCAAAGTGTGAAACTAAAATGATAATATGCAGTTGTGGAAAAATGTAATAAAATTCCATCTTATCACGTTTATTCTTTCATAATAAGAGGGACCAAAAATGATGATTTGGACGTACATAAGTTAATGGAAGTGCAAACAAGATCGCACGTACAATGGACGGAGTGGAAAACGTCCTTACGTAAGAAGTACATCACAACATTCACAACAACGTGCAATCGATGCAAAAAACCAATAACAATTTATTGTAGATATCCAGCATTAAGTTTAAAAGCACACTTACGTAGTTGTCCGTAAGTACACAAATAAATAACATTTCAGATATCAATGATTATAAAATATTATATATGTATAACATATAATGGTGCAATAATATCTAAGGAACGCGTGAAAACATAATGACAACAGGCAGTTATTGTAAAAAATTAATTAATTTTATATCTTATCTCTCCTTCTTTCTTTTATAAGAGCATCTACAAATAATCTTTTGGAGAAACATAAGTTAAAGAAGAAATCCAGAATAAAAGAAATATGGAATTATTATGATGTAATTGACGACATGACGGTATGCAAAAGATGTAAGAGACCAATAAAAGCAGATGATAGAGTTACCTCAAACTTACACACCCACGCTCGTATTTGTGGGTGAGTACACAGCCAAATAACACTTCAAATATTGATAAGTTCAAAAGAAATATAATGGTAAAAATATCCAAGGGCAGTGTGAATATGTAATAGTAGGTAATATATGCAATTATTGTAAAAAAAATTAAATCTCCATCTTATCGCATTTTTCTTTCATAAATCACTTAAATACTGATCACTTAAGTAATATTGAGAAGAGGAAACGAAAAGTAACACAAATATTGGACAAATTTGATATAACGGGCGACAAGGCGAAATGCAAAGGATGTAGGAAAACATTAAAAGTATGTGGTAAATATCCAGCACCAAATTTAGCTAACCACTTAAAATATTGTCGGTAAGTACACAGACGAATGACATTGTAATTATTGATGAGCGAAACAATAGAATGGTTAAATCATATCAAAGAAAAATGTGAATACTATATATATGTATAAAGGCAATGTGCAATTCTTGTAAAAAATTGATTAAACTTTATCGTGTTTACATTTTCATAAGGCCACCTAAGTTCGATGAGTTTGGAAGAGAAATAAAGGAAAGTTTAAAAATATCACACCTATGGGACGAATACGATATAACGGGCGACCAGGCGACATGCAAAGGATGTAAGAAAATAGTAAAAGTAAATAGTAAATTTCCAAGATCAAATTTATTCCGACACTTTCGCAGTTGTCCGTAAGTACATACAATAAATAAATTGAAATATTAATGAGTACAAAATAAATATCACGGTGAAATAATATCCAAGAAAAGTGTGAATATATAAAGACAATATGCAATTCTTGTAAAAAAATTGATTAAATTTAATTTCATTCACTCTTTCATAAGCCGGGTAGAAGTTGATTTGCTAAAGAAAGATGAGGTGAAAACGATACGAAGACTGTCGCAAATATGGGAAAAGTTTGATGAAGACGGAGACATGATGATATGCAAACAATGTAAAAAAGCAATAAAAATGTCTAATGCAAAGACAACATCAAGTTTACACAGTCACCTTCGTCACTGTCGGTAAGTACGCACATAAATAACATGTGAAATATTAATTAATATCTCGAAAAATTAATGTAACGATGACAATTACCAAGAAAAATGTGAATATACATATAATGACAATACGCAATTGTCATAAAAAATTAATTAACTTTTTATCACATTGTTTCTTTCATAAGATCATCTAAAAATAATCGTTCGTCTAAATATAGGCAGACACCAGAAAAAACAAACATATGGGACAATTTCGATGTAACAGGCGACAAGGCGACATGCAAAGGATGTAAGAAAACAATAAAAGTAAATAGTAAATATCCAAGAGTCAGTGTATACAGACACTTTAATAGCTGTCCGTAAGTACATACAATAAATAAATTGAAATATGGATGAGTATAAAATAAATATAATGATGAAATAACATCCGAAGAAAGTTTGTATATAATAACATATTGTATATTATACAATTATTGTAAAAAAATGATTAAATTTTATTTTATTGTGTTTCTTTTTTCATAAGGTTAGTAAATAAAGAACCGAATAAATTAGAGAAAAAAAGAATACTCTCAAAACTATGGGAGAAGTACAATATAATAGGCATAGCGACATGCAAACAATGTAAGAAAACAGTAGAAGTAAACAATAAATGTCCAAAAATAAGTTTAAAGCAGCACTTACGTTACTGTCAGTAAGTACACAGACGAACACCATTTCAAATATAGACGTGTATAAAATATATACAAGGTGTATCTAAACTGGCAAAAAAAATTTTTATGACAAGTGCTTTGTAACATTTTAAGATAAAAATTCTGATACGAAAATGTCGAGGTTGTAACAGTTTTCAAATAGGAAGAGCTTGAAGATCTCGAATAACGAGACTAGAATTTCGTACGCACAGGGATGGCAGAGTGGTAAATTTCACCAGAGATTTGCCAACTTAACCAAATAAATACGATAATGACAGCCGACGCATATCAATGTCGAATTAAATAAAAACATTTTAAGCTATTTTTATAATTCATTACATTACATTTCATAAGCAGAAATATTTTTTTAATAAAATTCTTGCATATAATTTTGACAATAATTTCATTTTTGTCAAAGATGTGTGGTTTAAGAAAGCACCTTTGCTACTGGCCACTTTGCCATCCTTGAGCGCGCAAAATTCTATCCTCGACATTTTCGCATTAGAATTTTCGTCTAAAAATGTCACAAAGTACTTGTCATTAAATTATTTTTCGCCAGTTTAGGTACACCCTGTATAATAGTAAAATAATATTCAAGGAAAGTATGAATATATGTATAGTGACCAGAGACCGGATCGCGGGCCGTTTTTCCCATGTCAAATATACAGTATAACCAGTAGGGTCACTCGTTCTTTTGTTTCACGTTCGCGCCGATCCGTACTGCGCATCCGATATGTTTTTATAATGACCAATCGCAGGATTTTTGTACGTGTGCTAGTGCAAAGTCGGTGTAACATTGAAAAATTCGCAGTAATGACGAATAACGCGTAAATATATTTATACGTTGGAGCACATTTCCGTAACATTGTATAAAATCAAACTATCGATTAATTAAACACTTTGGAAAGAACTTTGTTTAATCTTTAGAAATATTGCATTGAAAATTAAAAAATTGTTAAAAGATATCGATATTAGCATACATATGTGACAAATATATGTATACAATTTAGAACGACAAATAAAAATTGGATTATTTTTTCACAATTTTCTTTTTAATTTCATAATTTATAATAGCTTCTTTTAGTTATGATTAGCATTTGGACAATTCATAAAACTTATGCTAGTAATTATATTAATTGTTTTTATTAAAACAATTTTTTTCATAGGCCATTTACATTTACAGTAAATAATGTATGCCAGTTCATATGCGCCTTTTCTGGATACAATCCTGGAAAGGGTCCAGGCACTTTTAACCATTGATACACTGTTTATAAAAGCATGGCAGAAAAGTGAGAACGCCCAGATCAAAGGTGCCGACAAAGAGTGACCCTACTGGTTGTACTGTACTAAATATGTGCCAGCGCCACTAATGACAATATGCACTTGTTGAAAAAAATTGTTTAAATTTTACTTTAGCGCATGTCTTCTTTCATAAGGTCATCTACAAGTGATCAATCGGATAAATGTAAATCAAAGAAAAAACAAAAAATCTTAAAACTACGGGACAAGTACGATATAATATACAAGACAGCGACATGCATACATTGTAACAAAATAATAAAATTAAAACAAAGAAAATTGAATAGTAAAACTATAACATCAGCTTTAAACCTACACTTCCGTATTTGTCGGTAAGTACACGAAATAGACGAATAACATTTCAAATACTGATGCGTATAAAATATATATAAATACATATATGTATATGTATATAATGAAATAATATCCAAAGAAAGAAGTGTGCATATGACAATATGCAATTATTGCAAAAAATTTATTAAATTAAATTTTATCGTATTATTCTTTTATAAGCGCAAATTTTGAGCATCTACACTGATAGAAAAATATGTAGTATTTGAAACTAATATTGCATAGTAAAATATTTTTGGTCAGAAATATCACTTTTATATTAATTATTACTATAATATTAGTAATAGCAACCATATAGACACAGCTATGCCAACTATTTAAAAAATTTACTATAAAATATAAGCTTTTAACTTTTATTCTGTTAAAATATGTAGGTAATAAATAGTAAATTAGTTAATTATTTTTATATAGTAAATACAATCACAATAATAGTAAATTTAACTACATTTCTATCTTCCACCTTACTAATCACATGGTAAACAAAAGTGAAGTGGTTCGGAATATCCTCACTAGAGGTACGCGCGGTAGAAGACTTTCTCGTAAGAAAAAAACTGCACAGGGTGTTATAAATATGGATAAGTTTATGCATTCGTATAAGATTACTTATCTTTTCTTTGAAAGATGCTTTCTTGTACCATTCTTTATGAGTTCAAAGTGATGTAACCAATAAACATAGTGAATGCAATGTGTATATGTATAATAAAAAGCTAGGAATATTACTTCCAATATAAATACGATTATTACTATTACATATAGTTATTCGAAATTTTACTTGTGGTTGTTGTTGCAATATTTATAGTACACCTTACCAAATTAAAAGCTCGTTTTGGTTTATGACAACCATATCATAAGTTGCATGGATCAATAACGTGTCTATGAAAACTACAATATTATACATTGTTAGGTCAACCATAACTTATGTAGTTGGAAGAATTATAAAAATATGGTTAGCTCCTAAAATGAGACTATAAATTATAGTGTGATTGTGGTAACTGCAACCATTTTTTTCTATCAGTGTAAGTGAAGATGGATTAAAGAAGATACGAAGAAGATCACAATTATGGGATAAGCTCAATGTAACGGGCAACAAGGCGACATGCAAAGGATGTAATAAAACAGTAAAAGTAACTAGTAGATTTCCAACAAGAAACATAGCCAGTCACTTGAAGCATTGTCCGTAAGTATGTACATAGTAAGTAGGTACAGTTAATAAGTTGAAATATTGACAAATAGAAAATAAATATAAAGGTAAAATTATATTTAAAAGAATGTGAATGTATATAATAGCAAAACACAATGCTTGTAAAAAATTTATTAAATTTTATTTTATCTCGTTTATTCTTTCATAAGGGTATTTGCATATAATCGATTGGATACACGTAAACCAGAGGTAACACGACAAATCTCAGAACCATGGGACAAGTACGATGTAACGGGCGACACAGCGACATGCAAAGGATGTAAGGAAACAATAAAATTAAATAGTGAAACTCCAACAGCAAATTTAAACGAACACTTAGAATATTGTCGGTAAGTACACAGACGAATAACATTTTTAATATTAATATGTAGAGGAAAGTTCCCTATTATGAGATAGACTCTTAATATAAGATAGCGAAGTTTCTGTTAAATTAATAGGCACCATCTGTTGATTCCACCATAAATTTATTGCATTTTGTGTAAAACTTGTTTAGTGGAAAATTCACTGTTAGATTGTATAATCGTTGTGAAAAAGATTTATGATTGAATTTGAGTACCTATTGAAAACCTGCTATCTCATATTAGAGGACTTTCCTATATACTATACGTACATATACATAATACGTATCACGGTGAAATAATATCCAAAGAAAGTGTGAATGTATAATAACAATATTGTAAAAAGCTTGATTAAATTTTATTTTATTGCGTTTATTCTTTCATAAGGTCATCTGAAAATAATGATATGGATAAATATAAGTTAGAGAAGATACGCAGAAAATCAATACTGTGGACCAAGTTCGATGTAACGGGTGACAGAGCAGTGTGCAAACAATGTAAGAAATCGGTAAAAGTAAATGCTAAACTGCCAACAGTTAATTTAAACCATCACTTTCGTTGTTGTCAGTAAGTACACACATGAATAATATATATTTTGAAACATTGATGAATATACCCAGTCAGCTGACTACCTGGGTATAAAATAAATGTAATAGTGAAATATTATCTAAAGAAAAATGTGACTATACAATAACAATATGCAATTGTTGTGAAAAATTGATTCAATTTTATTTTATCGCGTTTATTTTTTCATAAAACATCTAAAATAAATTACTCCGATAAATACAGGTTAAAGAAGGAACTAAAGTATATGATGTGAGATAAGTACGATGTAACAAGCAACACAGCGACGTGCAAACAATATAAAAAATTAATAAAAGTTAAAAGTAAAAACTATCCAATATCGGGTTTAAACCATCGCTTTCGTCGTTGTTGGTAAGTAATCAGAAAATCGCGTATCGACAGTTCGGTGTACGATCGACAACCTGCATATCGACGCACAGTTCTGAAAAGTCGAAATAGACGCGTGAACAACATCTTAAGTAATATACATGTTATTGCGAATAATATATTACCACAGCCCCGGTGGTCGAGCTGGCTAAGACGCCCGTCACGGATTGTAGGCAGGTCCCGGGTTCGAATCCCGGTTGGGGTAATATTTTTCGCAATAAGAATTTTAATCGCCAGATATGGTCAACAAAATCACCAATATTGTTAATTACTACTGGCAACCTTAAGAATATTCTAGTTTAAAGTTTATGTATTGCGCATTGTTTATTGTGTAATACATTTATCTTATACAAAAGGCAGCGAAACCTGTGATCATACTGTACATATAACCGACACACTAGATTTGATAGATTATTCTATTCACATACGGAAAAGATTTATAGTAGTGCCAATGAAATGAACATAAGATAAATATATAAGAATGACCTATGGAATATTACAAATATTCTTGAAGAATATCCAAAATGCTCGCAGGAGTGTCTTGTGCTATTTGGGCATATGCACACATAATTCATTCACCCACATATCTTCATGTAATTAGATGTATAATTACATATTGTATGTACCTTTATCTGTTTATGAATATGGTATTGTATAATGTGTTTCTTGCTTCTAATAAAATTTCCATGTACAAGAATAATGTTATTAACATTAGTGTGAACCCGATTATACTCATTATGGTCAGATAAATTATCTCTTTGCAATATCCATTGCACTTTTTTATTTATTCTTCACCAATTCAGATTTTAATTCCATGACTTATCTCTAAAATCGGCCCCTTTTTTCTTCATATAACGTATATTAAACAATTTATTTGTAAGAGGAAAATGTAAAAATTAAGTATAAGAAGAAGAGAAAGAAGTTTAATATGAATATGATAGACCTCTTCTCCTTCATTCCTTCCTACGAGTTTGCACAAAGCCCGATTCCCCGGTTGTAAGGATTAAATTCCTTCCGTGGCACATACATCGTGCAACATCATTGTACTTACTGTCCATTGTAATAGTAAACGCAGTGAGTGCGTTCAGTAGAAAAAGTTGCTTTGTTGTAAAAGTCAACTGTTTTAAAAATCTTGACTCTAATTCGCGTATACTCTTAATCTTGTCTGAATCTAAGAGCACCCATTATTATATGTATTACGATGATAATACAGGCAAAATGTCTTATCTTTCTTTTTGAAAATAATGCATATATTTCTTTTTCTCAGTCCTATTTTCTATACTCTATAATCTATGTATAATATATTGAATATTTTGAATATCTTGTATACATGTATTTATTTAAATTATTGAGAATTGTAAATACATGTATAATGATTATTAGAACAGAAATCAAATCGCATCCGGTGCACTGTTTGGGTCAGTAAACAAGATATAATATTCATCGTAATGCTAAACTATGTAATCAGGCACCAGTAGTTTTAAAACTTAAAATAAATAACTTGCTAAATTTTTTCTACAACAATAATGAAATGGCATGGTGATAATATATTATTTCTGGAAAAATCAGTATTATTTACTTTAAATAAATTATTAAAGCAATGTAATAAATTTCTACCTGAAATTAAAATAACAATCGGTCGTAATAAGATTAAGACTTAATTAGAGTTCTTTTCGTAATATTTTTATTAATATCTTATAATTATTCATATATGAAATAATTTACAATTTTCCAAAACATTTAACATTATATACAAATATACATTAAAAATTGATTGTAATTAGAAGATGATTAAGGGGGCCGATTGTTCCAATGTTGAGTAACTTTTTACTTTTTAAGTTTAACATTATTTATTTCTAATTATTCCCCTCACAAACAGATAATTTATATTAATAAAAGGGTAAAAAGTTACCTGATGGTTAGAGCAATCGGTCTTTAAACTAAATTATTTGGTACCCACATAATCGTTATACTGACTATAATATCGGGTAAAATTTTTATCGTACAAAAGTTTTGTAGTCTACAGAAGCAATAAGCGCCCTAATAAACAACTTTTAATCAATAGAACTCTTTCTTGTATTAGATTCAATATAGTATAATGATTATGAGGGTGTCTAATAATTTTGTCTAACAATAAGACTGTATGAATACATATTTGATAGGCTTATGGCATATTCTTACAAAAATCTCTTGGAACACAATTTTGTTAGATGAAAATACGTGCAATTGTCTATTCTACAATATCAATTATTAATATCAATGATTGATCTTGTACTATTAAAAATGACAAGTTAATCGTCGCAGAAAAAATATATTGTTTCTGATAAAGCGCTACACTTATGTATATATTACATTTATTATAATACATTTATACATGCATATAATAATGCAACAATAATTCAGTATGTAAAAATCTAAAAGAATGTACAAATCAAATATGTATAAACCTACGTACTAATAAGGAATTTAAAAACTTAAATTTTCGAGTATTTGTGTGATTTCTAACAATATTTTGAGATGATCATCTTTTCTAAATCTTTAAGTTTAGTCGGACAAAATAAAAAGATTCCATATAGTCTTCTTCCTTAATACTTAAGGTCCAAATAATACATATTTATGAGGTAATCATAGGAAAACTCAAGTATTGATAAATCACTGCTAATCAATAGTTTCTATCCAACGATTAATAATTCTGCAATCAAATTAATTATCACGATCTCAGCATGAAACTGCAATGCTATAAGTGTAAAACTTGTGCCGAATTTTAAGTCTCATCATTATGGCTTTGGTTTTATAGGCGCGCTTAAATAATCACGTGGTACGTAGCCCTGTTTACCGTCACGATTTTCTACCAGCCACCATTCGTTGTTTCCTTTCTCATCGTGAGGTCTAAGAAGTCTCAGGGTTTGGCCATTACTAATGGGCAAAGTACCCTGCATATTACCAGCAAACTCATACATCGCGTGGTAAAACTAAAATTTCAATCATATTAATAAATAGATAATAGAGCACAATCAAAATATTCAAATATCAGAATACTAGGATACTAACTTCATTGTGTACATTCTGATACACTCGAACTCTCGGCGTCTCGGGAACGTTGCTATAACTGTGATTTACTTTTGCTTCTTGTTCTAATGAAAGCAAATCTTGCAGATGCGACGAAGGTACCTTCTTGATCTCTTTTTCTGGAGAATCCAACGACATTAAATTTGGAGGGCTGGAACTCTTTCTGCCAGCAGCGGCGACGTCCGACGGGATTGGATCGTGATTTATAATTTGAGTCTGCCGTCGAACCGGCCTCAGTTTTTGGCAAGGCAAAAATCCTTGAGTGATTCCAGTGTCGACATACCATCTCGCCGTGTCTCCCATTGGATCTTGTTTTTTTATGACTCCGACCAACGTACCTCTTGCAGCATTCACATCTAGCGCAGATGTACTGACAACATCCTCAACCACCACATACAATTTATCCGCAGAATATTTCTCTCTGAGCGTGGATTTCTGCTCTTCGGACTGTTTACACAATTGAAATTGGCCATTGTCTATTCGGGTATTCGCGCCAGCAAACGCGAAACGCGTTAGTTGATTCCATATTAAATTATGATTTACGAAAAATGATTCCAGCACATCTTGTGACGACAGATGCGGTGATGTCTGTAAAAGAAAATTGCAGTTTATTCCTTCTCGAACTATACGTGAGACTGAAAGTTCTCTATTAAAATTTTATTGAAATACCTCGCAAAGAGTCAGGTATTGCTTGGTAATTTTGCCACTTAATAATTTTCGAGCGCCAGCAAAAGCATTTATGCAATTAACTAAAATGTTTGCCGTCGCATCCAGCAATATAGGTAATTCCTCCAGTAATTGTTGATTCAGAGCTTCATAATTGCTCTTAGCAGTGAATAATTCTTCTTGTACCTAAGACAATGTAGAATGAATCAGGAAAAATTATAAAAGATTATAATAGGCTTACCATAAAAACATAAAGTAATGTAACAATTACAATTTTTGATTCTTTGCTTTTCTCACTCTTTGAAATAGCGGCGTCGTAATCCAGCAACTTATCATGTCTCTTCGCTACCAACACCGCCGGTCCTTCTAACAGTGTCGCCAGGAAATGCAACGGTGCGCTGACTCTCTTTTCGATATACGATTTAAAGTCCCGTATGTATTGTGACCCAATTATAGATCTTATGCCCTGCAGTTTTTTTACTTCGACAGTCGAATTTCCTTGATAATAATGAACCAGCATTTCGGCTATCGCTTCACCGGACATAGCTTCATCACTCAGATATGTTATACATTGCTCAATATCTTTCGCCAATTGCCATGTACATTTCTCTATAGACCGAAATTGCTTCTCGAGCTCCTCGAACTCGGTATCGCTCGCGACGTTCGTCAATCCCAGACTTGCCGACAATCTCGTGCTTAATCTTGTTGACATTTTCGCCACAGAGTGCATACTTAATTTTGACATTTTGCTAAATAAAGTATTATCATTGTCCAAATACTTTGATACAATATCTCGTCTCCGTTTGTACTCGTTGATGTAACTGGCCACATTAGTCATAGCCTCCCACGCCTCCAGTATGGCTGCTTTGTCTGGATGATTGTCTTCTGTACACTACAAATTATTTTCCATGCAGGACGATATTATAATGCGATATAACTTGGAGTACACATATGCATATAAATATTTATCTAGAAAGTAATAATTCAATTTCGCAAATGTTCTAAAGTTGATTTACAGAATGCTTCGGTAAAAGTGAGCAAACTCTCGTGGATATGTAGAGCTGATAAAAATAATCCCATAAGTTAACTGAGAGATTGTCCTTTACCTTTACTGTAATTTGTATATCAATTCATTGACACTTCTTCCAAATATATATTGCAAACGTGGACTTTTACTGCCTCCAAAATAAATTATTTGTACAATTCTTTACATTTGATGTAATTAATGCAATTGCTTACCTTTATTAGTTCATATAATATTAGTGGATACTTCAAAATTCTTTGCACCGGCTTGATCAGAATCGAGCTCATGTCAAAGCAAGCAACCTGACGACGTAATGTCTCAATTCCCTTATTAAATACTTTCATGATATCTTCATTATTTTCATACTAAAATACAAATGAATGAGATTCGATTATGTAACTAGAAAACAAATTAAGCTTATTACATCGCCATAAGTTTTGTTAATTAAGATTTTCGGTTACGTTGTAAATATATTGGATTGATGCATAAGTTCGTCCCGTTTTTAAACATTTGCGCACTTTATATACAAATTCGATCTGCTGTCAACTTCACACTTATATGACACATTAAACATTTGAAAGTAACAATTGAACGGAAACTTTACTGTCAAATTTGTTGTCGTCGATTGATGCTTGTAATAGCGTTTTCGATTTGCTGACTCGACCCGACTCCGAGTCAGAAAAGTTTGATCAAAAGTAAGATTTTTGCAGAAATTGTGGTTCAAATCTGACTTTTGATCAAACTTTTCGGCGTTGGGTCGAGTCAGAAAATCGAAAACGCTATAAGTCGTGTAAATTTATAAGGAATGATAAAAATAAGCATCACTTTCGGTATATTACGTGTACACGCTACACGCGTTTCGATTAGTTTTCCCGCGCTTAGTATGTATCGTGCGCTCCTGACCCGCGCCTAGCGCTCGTTTGTATCTTTTGTTTTCTACCCCCCCCCCCTCCCTCCCCGCTCTTTAGTACTAGCATGTCTCTTGTTGTCAGCGAAGCGTCGAGAGCGAAGCATCGAGAGCAAAGCGTCCAGAGCAAAGCGTCCAGAGTGAAACGTTTAGAGAGGCAATGATGGGTCGTCTTCATACAATTCACGCGTTCCTTTATCAACCTCATCCACGGTAAGAATTGGTGGCACAAGTACGACACAGGCCAGGAAAAGAAAATACGCGTCCGCTTACGCGACGGCACAAGCCACGAGACACACGCCTCGACATTGTGCCTTTTTATTTGTGAAAAGGCAAGACTACTGTTCAGACAAAAAAATGTGTTCTGTCTACGGAGAAGATGCTATTGACGATTCCACCGTTCGTAAATGGTTCCGACGATTCCGTAATGGAAATTTTAATCTCACGGATGAGAAACGTTTTGGACGACCTTCCAAACTTGGCAGTCACGGAATCTTGGCCTTGATTGAAACTGGTCATCATAAAACAACTCGGGAGATTGCCGTTATCACTGATCAAATGTATATCGACAAAATATAAATAGGATGTGACATTTTTGGTTTAAAAACGGGACGAACTTATGCATCAACCCAATAAAATACCTTTTTTAACAAAGCTAACGCAGCCTCGTGATTTCCGCAATATTTAACATAAACGTTTCTCAGTTTCTCGGCCATTTTCACGAAACAAGGTCCAATTGTTTGCAAGCTTTCGTCGCAGCCTTTCATAGCTCTCAAAATCATGTCCAACAACTCCTCGGCAACGTGGATAACTTCCAAAATATTTCCGAATAACGTGGCGACGTCAATCCCCTTCGACTCGAGGAAACTCGGATTGTGCAAATTAAATGTTTCGTATGTTAACTTCAGATCACGAACATATTCTTTTTCTGTCATAACTAATTCCGTTATTACATTTTGTCGTTGATCCGCATGCTTTTGCTTCATATCTACAGTACTGTCGCCCGCACATTCGTTTTCGCGCGTTTCTCTCGTCGGAGCAGACACTTCGCCGTTTGCAACAGTTTCTTTCTGTAACGGCACTCTGCCTGGAGCGGGAGCTGGTGGTGCTGGCCTGTGCGGCTGCGACAATCTCTTCGGATTCTGTTCCTCATTTGCAACAGTGTTCGCTTCTTTGTGCCTAATCATTACAAAGTCTTCAAAGTCTTCTAAATTCGATTCCTGCAGACTGTCAAACGAATGTTCGGACACCGAACTCAAATACTCCCGTGGGCACAAGCCAACTAGGCCGCTCTTGTTTTTCACTTTCACCCAATCCTCATTGGCCATTTCCAGCACGGTGACACTCTCGCCCTCGTGGACGTTCAAATCGCCAGCCATCTGTGCGTCAAAGGTATACAGCACTTTTACAGTAGCACCCGGTTCCAGAGCATCCTTCTTTGCAGAAATGATTTCGGATTGGACTTGTTGTTCCCTCGCTTCTGCGCAGTCGACTATAATATTGACGTAAGATGACGGAAAAATGCCCTTAGTGGTATCGATCGTACCCTCTATCCACTCGGAATCGATGTGTCTGGTAAGATGCACCACCTCGCCTGCTCCAAAGCTTAGCTCGTTTGGAAACTGTGCATTGAATGGGTATAACGTTATGGCGTATGGTTTGATATCGACGGAATTCGCATGATTATTGTATTGTATGCCTTCTGCATTATTGGTTACTGGCAACTCTGGAAACAAGTCAAAGTAGTTTGGAGCGGGCTCATCAGGTAAATTTGGATAAGAATTGGCGGAAGTTTCGTTAAAATCTTTGTAAATTGTGCCATTGTGAACTGTCGAGAGAGACGGAAAATCACTGCTCTTAGGTGCACACGTCACTTCCTTCTGATCAACTTGATCCCGATCTCCATCGATGTAAGATACAAATCCTTCGGGGAACATGCCCTCTCTGCCATTTTCCGTAACCCCACGACACCAGCCGTCGTCTAAAATCTCCGTGACAACGACTATCTCTCCCGCAGTTAGGTCCAATTCTTCGTCAAGTTGCGCCTTTAGTGTCGTTTTCACTTTGGCCCTTTTTCTGATTGACCTGGTCTTGGTCGGTTTCTGCAAGATTCGTATTTCTATTAATTAACAATTTTATTCGCATGATACATAAGTAAAATACATTGTGTGTATAATCTGTCTCAATGTTCTACCTTTATCAATGTTGTATCCAGTTCCCACGCATGTGTCATTGGGAAAATTCCAGTGTTCGAGCTTGTTCTGCCCATACACCATCCTGAACCTATGTCCCTCGTTCCAATTATGAGTTCCCCTAACAGCGAGAACATTTGCGCTTCGATTATTATCTATTTCTATGATATCGAAACTACAAAGTCATCGTTGCGCCCTCACATTTTTATTGAAACAATTAATCTTGTAGCCCTCAAGAAGTTTGTGCCAGCAATAATATAAATGTATAATCTTACCTTCCGCAAAAGACAGATCTCCAGCTTCTTGCCCCTGGAAGTTGGCTATGGAAACGAACAGTCTTTCCGTTTCACCCAAGTGCGGGATTTCCACTTTATGCAAATGACTTAGGGGAAACTTGCCGACCATGTCTCGAGACTGACCATAGCACCAGTGTTTGTCCACGATCTCGTGTACCTGAAACAGGAGTAACATACCAGTCCACTGGTCTCTTCAGCTGTTTACCTACACCTGACCGCTCGGTAGGTTAGGCGTCGAGCGTTCGCGTGTACCAGGAAGTAATGGCCCCTGGGGAGACTCAGCTCCCCGTCGACGGTGGTGAGGAAGTCGTGCAGCACCCTCGCCAGCGTTCCTGGCTCCATTTCCGCCGCGGCGCACTCGCATCCGTTGAACCCGCGATACTGCGGCCAGCGCGACTACGCGAGCGGAGGCGAGGCGCCTGACAGCCGATACTGGCTCCGATAAGTGGCAGTCACGTGGCACGCGCTCTCGTGTGCGTGGCTCGGTTTGTGCGGAGTTGTCGAATTAAATATGTAGCGTTACTGATTGTGAGAGAAAACTCGCCCACGTGTGTCGAGTAAATGAACGAAATATTATTAGAATCAGATAAGAAACAAATTAAATCGAGATAAAAAGTAATCTGCATCGGTGGAAATGATTATTGGCGTTTTTGTCGGCACTAAAGATTTTTGCTGATCACTCTCTGTGGGCACTTTTTAGCATTTAAACTACCCAGAAAAACATTTTATGCGCAAGCATCTAGCATGACGACGCACTGGGATAGGATGTTGCTTGCGTTGTTGAGTCATTTTTGTACATGAGTTGTTGGATATTTGCGCGCACAATCATACATTAATACATGAGCTAACCACTTGCATGTAAAAGCGCAGACTAAACATATCTTACCCTGGTAGCACAATATATTGGCGCAATATTGGGAAATAATGTAAATCTGGTATTCCCAATATTCAGGGTTGGGAAAGTTATTTTATAAAAGTATCTATCCAAGTAAACTGAAAAGTCAAGATGACGTCAATTTGATGTCGTATTAACCACATTTATGTCATATTTTGGTCAATATGACCTCGCATTGACGTTATCTTGGCTTTTTATTTTGCCTTGGGTAGTTACAGTTGTTTTGCTAAAAATGTAACTAGTTACAGTTACAAGTTATCAATTCTGAAAAGTAACGCGTTACAGTTACAGTTACTCAAAAAGTTACGAATCGTTACTTTGCAATTACTTTCCTGCAAAGAACAAAACTTAGGCAAATCTCATACAAGTTCGCGTGCATAAGACAAGAAAAATTTGCGTTTAAGAATTCTGGGTACGCTTATAAATAGAAAGGATGCAAAGTGTATTTTAATGCTCTAATAGTTACGTAAAATTTAATATTTTGCAAATCGATTAGACAGAATCAATTTTATAAATTTTAGGTAAATTTACGTTTAACTATTTTTTTTATCATTCCCGGTGGGCACTTTTTAGCATTTAAACTACGCCTACAAATAGAAAAGATACAAAGTGTATATTTAACGTTGTAATAGTAACGTAAAATTTAATATTTTGCAAATCGATTAGACAGAATCAATTTTATAAATTTCAGGTAAATTTACGTTTGCCGATTTTTTTATTATTCCCGGTGGGCACTTTTTAGCATTTAAACTACGTCTATAAATAGAAAAGACGCAAAGTGTACTTAGCGCTCTAATAGTTACGTAAAATATTTTGCAAATTGATTAGATAGAACCAATTTTATAAGTTTCAGATGAATTTACGTTTAACGATACAAACTTCAAAATGATTGCAATCTTAGAAGCGTATTACATAAGTTTACATAAGACTTGTTTTCTATTGCTGCACTGGTGAACTATGTACAATAAACTGGAGTAAGACAAGTATATTTTTTTCATTCTAGCTTGCTGCACTGGTGAACCAGTGCAGCAATAGAAAACAAGCCTATATTTCCTCAACGGTTTATATTAGCTGCATTCGGCAGTGCGAGTCTAAAGACTGATTTATGCAAGGCCGTAACTGTTGAATTATGTCGGAATCGGTAAAAATTAATCAATTACAGTTAACTATTCTCCTCACTTTTAACGGTGAATGGACAATTTTCACCGATTCCGGTATAATTTAACAGTTACGGCCTTGCATAAACCAGCCTTTGACGCCGGAGTGCTCTTCCTCCTTTCTCTCTCGTTCTCCTCTCTCGTTCACTCGAATGCGAAAGAGCATTCCGACGCCTCAGCTTCGCAACGCCGTACGTAGCTTTCATACGCGTCGCACGTCGTGCGTGTCGAGTGCAGTTCGTAGAATCAGCTGATCGCGAGAGTGCTGTTCGCGCTAATCGTTGTCTGATCGTTTCGCATAATTAGACGTCATTGTATATTCATTGTGCACATGTGTCAGCGTCGTACGCATCGAGTGGCTTTTACAAGCGAGATTATATTAACACAAAAGTCGTATCGAACGTCGATCGACGGTATCTTTGCCGGCGACGAGGTTAGGACGGCTAACTTAACCTCGCGCAAGCGAATCCACCTGCACATATAATATAATAAAGAGTAATGAAACGCTGAATGGTAGTGTGATTTCTTGATTGTTTCTCTTGTAACCCAGTAAATACCAACTAGCAATTACATAACATTATAATTTCCTACTCAACAATGTATGAACTACTGTTATGCCCCTGGTAACATTTCCATTGCAATTGTGCTGTAAAACTGTACGAAAAATCATGCATTAACTTTCGGGCAGATCATGCGTTTTCTATTTCCAACTTTGACTGTCTTTCTGTTGGCAGAAACTTGCACTCATCGTAGTGCAACAGAATTGTTGAAGATATGTGTATGCATTTATGTACAACAGTGTAAGAGGCAAAGTGCAATCTGCTGATAGCGCAGAAATAATCTAGGGACAAGAAAATATTAAAATAGAAACTTAGAGCGATATTAGAGGATTGGTATTGACGCGAGGACATGCGCGACTCACAGAGAACAAAAGTACGAGGTGATGACGGGTAAAAGGCATGGAAAAACAGGGAGTTCGTTATAAGCCAGTGTAATAGAAGGTTGAATTTCGAGACTGTTGTGTAAAAGTAGACGAGGGACTGTCTGGAAATTATATAAGTATCTGACGAGGGACTGTTAGAGAAATTGATTATTAATTAACAAGTTAGTTTGTGCGTTTGCTTGAGCTGATATTATTAGCGGACAGCGAACAATTTATCTCGATACCTTTGTATGTGTCAATCGGACCAAGTTCACTTTGAACCGTTACAGTGTTAACATTAAATTTTCATATGAATTTTCCCTGACAATTGAAGAGTTTGATTTATCTAAGTTTACGCCCTAGTTCTATTAAGATCTATAATCCTTACAGCAGAAAAGTGCAAGAAATGCGGAAAATGCTTGCGCAAATCGCAGTGCAATATAATCGCGCTAGATTTGTAGCAGCGCCTACTGCTAGTAATACATATAGCAGAATTCAACAAGAATTACGGCAGATGCTTGCGCGTTCTTTTCGCGTTTCTGCCAGTCGGATCTGTACTCAAAACTCTGCTGCAAATGTGCATGAAGAGTTTAACGCGATTTGCTGTTATTTTTCTGTCAGGCAGATACTTCAATATTGTTTTCACATTTCTGCTGCATGTCTACTTTTAGCAAATAGTATAAAATTTTACAGTAGCTTCTTACAGCAGGCTGCTGCAATAGTAAGTAAGTACTTGTCAATACCAGATATTATGCACTTCTGTCGCAATTTTAAGCTGTTTCTTGCGCACTTCTGCGGGTCGTATCTGAACTGTCAGATTGTGTTACCAATGGTACAACACGTGTTCGCAGTCAGCAAAATGTTAGCAGATTGGCAGCAGATTCATCAGAAGTGTCAAATTCATCTGTGTCCGCATTTGGCTTTTGGCAACAGAGTCTGTAAAACGTACGCTGTCAACAGATTGTCGGCAGAAACGGGTCTAGTTATGTAAGCAGGTTTTGTTGTATTTCTGCTGACACCCTGGCAACTTGTCGAATATATCAGTTCCTGTATGCAATCTGCGGTCTTTTTGCTTGCAACTTGTCGAATATATCAGTTCCTGTATGCAATCTGCGGTCTTTTTGCTTGCAAAATTTATAGTGGGCATTTGACAAAATCTGTTCTGGCAGATTTGGCTATCTGGGTATCAGTTCCTGTATGCAATCTGCAGTCTTCCTACCTTCAAATCTGGTAGTGGGCATTTGAAATCTGTTCTGACAGATTTGGCTATTTGGATTATTACATTTATATTGTTGAGTGAGAAATGATAATATTAATTGATACATAAATGTTAGTTGGAGTTTACTTATCATATGTTTTTGTATGAATCGTTAAAATTAAGAGAAACTCCTGATGGAAATATTTTACTGAAAGTTTTATATGAATCTCAGCTAAATATTTCCACCAGAGACATCAAAACGTATCAAGAAAATCAAATGATGTTATGTAACAAAACTACGATGTTATTAAACGTTTTCTCCAATTTATATAGCTGACGATCGTCACATCGAGTGTCGAAGCTGATGATATCTCTAGCAAAATGCATTGCGCACGCAAGATCCTTCATATCGCGCAGCGGAAGCTACGAATGTGCAATAAAGATGCAGTCTGCAAGTGCCCAGGAATACAGAATATTATTTGTCGTTTGAATCACGATTCTGAGGAATATGCGTCTTATTCTGCGGAAAGTGACAAGACATACGTCGAGCTCACCGGTCGTTACTTGGGCATTGCGACTGGCGGGCACAGGGCATTCATTTTGCAACCGTATATAAAATGGGGCAGAGACAAGAAAAGAAACACCTCGCCGGAACTGCAAATGGCTGAAGCTGTTGCGCTGATAAACACCTTGCCCAACTGGTGCGTAGTCGGGACGAAATACGCGCCGTTACTCACGTTACAGAAAAAGCACTTGCTGGGCAGCGGCGCGATGAACGACCTGAAGAAGGAATTAGGCAGATGCCAGAACCCCACTGCCGTATTCGTCAGCACTAATCTGCTGAAATTCATCCAAATCTCCGAACTGGAAAAGATCTTCGGTCTACCGGTGTACGATCGTTACTCCATAGTCATCCACATATTTCGCGAGCACGCGAAGACCGCGGAGGCAAGGTTGCAGGTAGCCCTGGCGGAGATACCGTACGTCCGAAAGAAAATGTTAGAGACCTGCCTTACTCGCAGCGGCGCGATAGTCGTGACGGATCAGACCAAACTGGTGCTCGACGGCAGGGAGAAGAAATTGAAGAACGAATTGAAGAAGCTGCAGCAGCATCGACAGACTCTCAGGAGCAAGCGTAAGAAGCACGGCTTTCCCTCGGTTGCTGTAGTCGGTTACACAAACGCAGGGAAGACCTCCTTGATAAAAGCGCTCACGGACGACAGCTCCCTGCAGCCTAGAGACAAATTGTTCGCAACCCTCGATACAACCGCGCACGAGGGCATGTTGCCCAACAGGTTGAAAATCTTGTACATGGATACTATTGGGTTCATTCAAGATGTACCGGAAGCTCTGCTCGAACCATTTATCGTGACTCTAGAAGACGCTATGATTGCTGTACGTTGGATTCACATCGTCCCCTTCCTCTTCTCTCGTCTTTGTCCTTCTTGATGAAATTTTTCTGAGAATTCTTTTTCCTAGGATGTCGTAATTCATATATATGATGTCAGTCATCCTGATATGAAGGCGCAATATCAGCACGTCCAGGAGACGATAAAACCAATGTTGGACGGACGTTCAGTAATCGACGTCGCCAATAAGTGCGATCTTATTCAGAGCGACTGCATACCCAAGGATGCGATTGCCGTCTCCTCTAAGGATCTCACAGGTGCGATCAGAATTCATTCTCACCATTAGATCAAACGAGTAGCCGCGTTCAGCGGAAAAAGTTGCTTTCCAACTGTTGTAAAAATCTTGACTCTGGTTGGCTTTTAATTATGGCAGAATCTAAGAGCATACTCCAATCGAATTTACGAATTTTACAACTGTTTCAATGTAACTCTTTCCGCCAAACGCAGCCAATATTACGAGTTATACTCGGAGTTTAAAACGGTTTAAACGTTTACAGGTATCGATTTGTTGCGCCTGAAAATACAGGAGGTCCTTTTAGCCGCCACTGGACTATTAAGCATACGCGCAAGGGTAAAAGCAGGGAGTGCTGCGGCCAGTTGGTTATACAAAATGACGACAGTGACAAACGCCGAAGCAGATCCGAACGATGCTCAGTATTTAATTTTGCAAGTCCTTGCCACCTCGACTGACGTTCAAAAGTTCAAAAATTTTCTAAAACAATAAAAAGAGTTTATACCATGCTTCACTTGTTTGCGATACTCCTTTCTTCTTACGTAATGGAGAGCTCGAGGCACTTTTTTGCGGGTGCCTGAGCAGAAAGATTTTAACTGTTTATGATTCGTAAGGCTAATATTACATTTGTCGTACGACACATTTTTCAAGCATATCAATTGGCTGCAGAATAGAAAAATTGTCGAGTCTCTAGAAATTTTCTATTCTGCAGCCAGTCAACATACTTGAGAAATTTGTGGTACGACAAAATTTTCAAGCGTGTTGATTAGCTGCTGAATAGAAAATTTTGAGATACTCTAGAATTTTACTATCTTGCAGCCAATCAACACACTTAAAAATTTGGTCGTACGACAAATGTAATATCAGCCTAGGACGTAAGTTAGTGTCGAGAGTAAACGCACAAAGAATTGTAGTATGTCGCCTCGCGATGCAATGGATACGAGGGATGCGACATACGTCTACGACAGCTCTTCGTGCGTTGACTTTCGACACCGACTTAAAGTCTTACGACGGAATCGTAAACGGTTACGCTAATCTTTCTGCTCAAGCTATGAGAATCTAAAATAATAAGATTCGATGGCACGCGGAGATACTCTTTCTCTTTCGATCTCTTATCTACTTTGTGATAAGAAAAGATTATTATCACTGTACATATTTGAATGGCATTGAATCATCGTAATATTATAAACAAAATTTTTCCAAGAAGGATACTTTTAAGCTCCTCGTGTCAGATATACCAAGGAATTTTAACAAATTGCATGATTCACGAGCTGTGACTTGCAATTACGTATGCAACAGGAAGATATAGCGTACACATATCGCCATTGTTATCGCAAGAAACGCACGTACTCAATTTACCTATAGATATCTAAATTACTATTTTTTTTTCTTCGAATAAATCACGCGCGCACGAGCGAGCGCACTTGAGAATCTTAGCAATATCCTCGGGCGCGGCATGCTGCCAAGAAGCAATTTTTTTTACAGCCCGGCATATACACGTGCTCAGCACGTGTTTCTCTGCAATCGGCAGATGACACGACTTAAAACTTCAACTCGGAGATACTCGTTAGGGCTATTAACGAGATTAAAGACTTTATCACGGTGCTTAGGCACAGGCGAAGCAAGTGTACAATTTGTAAAGTTTGCTCTGTAAATAGGATTTCGTACTTAAAGTCCAGCTTATCGTTTGCACTTTCAACTCCATAATATCCCTATTGATATCAACGAACATTGCGAACGGAATAATGTTTTCGACGAACTGCGCTCTTGCCGAAAATGGTCAAAATACAATCATCCTTAAATATTGAAAGTAAATGTAACGTTTTTGAGATGGGAGTTACGATGTTTTTGTTGTAAAATGTTCCAACGATTATTTAATATAATACTGCAAATTTTGGAATCTAAATAAGATCATAATTCTATTCTTTTTAAGTTTGAGTTCTATTTTTTCAAATGTTATATTTTTCGAATATCAGGAAATACATTTTTTCATAAGTTATACATTTCGTCAGAGAAATTTCCATAAATTTTTTCATTTTAATCGTACCGTCATATAAATAATAACATCCTTCTGATGGAAAAGATTGAAACATTCTCAACGAATTGTAAATTTTTAAAATTTTCATTAACACTCCCAGCTTTTTTTTAAATAAAAGTTTGATACGTTCGCAACACGGGCTGGCGCCTCTCAACCAAGGAAAATACGATGCTATTTCAACGTTGCAGATGGCATGTATCTGGCGAGAAGCGCCGAAATAGGAAGAGGGATCTCCGAGAAAGGAAAGGCTCTTTACGCTTTCACGCGGAGATGCGCATCGCCTGAAATTTGGCAGGCGATCGATCCGCGTCTGGATCGTTGCCCGAATGGAAAAGATCGCCGTCGTTTTATTAAGAGTTCCGTTTGTCTGCTTTATCTCTCCGCCCGCGCGAGTATGCCGGTGATGATCCACCGCGAGAGAAACTTCACGACGAGGGTGCCCCGTCACGGCGCGATGTATAATTCATAGGACCCGATGGCTCCGCGCGTCCAAGGGGTGTCTCGGTAATTTTATACGGCGGTAGCGGAGATGTTTTTTTTTTCGCGATAGCCCTCTATCCAGACGAGAAATTTAATCTGTCGTTTGTAATCTCGAGAGAGTCCACTCCAGTCTCTATCTTTCTTATCGCCGAAGCTGCGACGGCCTCGCCAACAGAGTGCGTACAATTTTGCCGTCGTGTAAAATTTAGAGGGAACGTGAAACGAGCGCGAATCGGAGGGAGCGATCGCCAACGAGCCGCGACAGCCACGTTCTATGCGGGCGACTCTCGAGCGTAAAACTCTCCAGTGCGCGCTAACCCGAGCAACGCGTCATTAATATCCGGTGACGGCGGGACACCCTGTGTGTAGCCTTATAAAGTGCCCCGGCAGAATTAATCGCGTCTCGCGGAGGAAGAGTCCCGGACTCTCCGCGCGTCGTCCTTTGGCTGCTGGGAATTAATGAAGGATTGATATCGCGATTATGTTGTAGCAATAGCGCGGAAGAGGGCCCGGCGGTGGGCACCGCGTGGGCCGATCGGCAGCGCGGATCGTGGCGATAATTAATTGCAGGCGTGACGGCGCTTTAACGTCGTTAATTTTCATTATCTCGATCGGAATCCGCTTGTAGCGCGGAGCGCCGCCGCTTTGCAGCTCGCTAATTTTCGCTCGCCCCGTAACCCCGCTTCCAGGAAACGCGTTAACAATTCTTGGGGGCGAGAGACCCGGGAGGGAGGGGGGAGGGCGGGTCTTGCAAAATTTGTCACGCGTCCGCGGTGACGCTGATGTTACCGGCCGCCGCTGCGGCCGGGATTCGCGGCGCGCGAGGACGCGCGCGATGCACTTTGCGTGCTGTTTGGATTATTATAGCGAGCCGAGTAAAACCTAATTGTCGCGGTGGCCGACCGAACGACAGATCTCCACCGCCACCCGCCCAATGTGTATGTCGAAGCGATGTATATCGTAAAAGCTGAAAAGCGGAAGAGATCGTCGAACGAGACGCTCGAGTGGTCTTTAACCAAAGCTTTGTGTCCACGATGCCAGAAAGTGGTCCGAGATCTCGATTCGTAAAATATGCCGCCAATCAACTTGCACAGAAAAGCTGTAGTTTCTTGGATCGAGATCTCGGACCACTTTCTGGCAGCGTGGACACAAAGCTTAGGTTAAAGACCACTCGAGCGTCTCTCCCGACGATTTCTTCCGCTTTTCAAATAAAGGTGATGGAAATAAAAATTAAACATTAAAATTTAAGCGGTAAGCGAATTGACCACTCACAGTCGGGAACTTAAGCAGCTGTTTTGAAACTAATAGCGAATTGAGTGCACACTAAGGCTTGCTTACAGTCACTTCTTATATTTAAAGATCGTCTTAAATATCTCGTGAAATATTTAGCTAGTAAAAGAATCTGTATAGCATCCACACGAATCTTTATTTTAGTTAAATACTCTTTGAACATGTATTTAAGACAAAGTTAAATGTAAAAATTGACTATAAACAGGCCTTACAAGGGGAAGATATAGGTCCGTAGGCTGGAATTTGGCTGAATTTTAAATATTGCCTTCAAGTATTCCTCAGAAGTTTATTATATCGTTTCCTTAAGCCAGCGGCACACGATACTATTTTACTTACTGGATTGCTTACGAGAACCAATAAAATTAAATGTTTCAGAGTTTTAGATCAGGTGACTGAGAGCTAAACCCTTATTGGCTCTCGTAAGCGATCCAGTAGGAAAAATAGTATATTTATATGTGCCGTTGACTTTAATCATTCTTCTCCGTAATCTTCTACGAATCTTGAAAAATTACAAATCAGGAAAGGAGAAAACCTGAAGAATGCTTTGCGAATTCACTGTGCTATCTCGGTTAAGGTAAAGAAATCAGTTAAAGAAGAAAATCAGATAAAAAATGTTCAAGACATTTTAAAATTGTGAAAATCTACACAGTAGAAAACATTTTGAATTTTTGTTGAAATTTTCTCGTGTAGAAATTTTCGTATTAAATTTTTAACATACCTTTATGATAATGTAACATATTATAATTATGTTGTTTTGACCTTTCTGAGTTGAGTTAATATTTTTGATGTTTTTAAAAGTTAAAACAACACAATTAATATGTAAATGCATGAATTTTTTATGGTACATTTTATATGTTAAAAAGAACAGAAAAATTGTGTTACTTCTTCCTCTATAACGGTTTCTATCTCTTTTTTAAATCGATATTTCTTTTATGTTATTTATCATAAAGAGATATCGCTTTCTTTTGTCTTTTGGTTGTCGCCAGAAAATGATTGCCGTGTATGAACAAACACGGACACGATTGCCGCGCGATCATTTTATTTTAATTAAATTTAACATCGTAAATGTGTTAATTTGACATAATCTTTATTTCCAAATGATGTCCAAGTGTTACTTTTTTACATATTACTGGTATTTACATATGGGACATGTAAAATGTGTTAAATTTAATACAACATTTTTTACTGTGTAAGAATTCCAAGATTTCTTGTGGAAAGAGGGGAGATTAAATTTTGACAGTTTGCGAAAAAATATACTTAAAGAATTTTTGAAAATTTGTACTGTAACAAGGATATTATTGACACGTACTGTTCCATTACAAAGGAAAAACCATTTATGTGTAATATCCGTAATTTGGAAAAATTGTATTCTTATCACACACGATGCATCGATCTTGCTACTAAACCTTCAGCAAAAATACAACAAAATATTCTCGTTAGACTTTCAATTTATGGTCTTACAATTAGTGTAAAAATAATAAATGGATTACATTTAAGTTATAAATTATAGTGGAGGGAAAATATACAAAAAAATGTGAAATTTGCTGTACAACTTATACGTTATGTAAATGATGAATTGATTCATAAGCAAAAGCAAATATGTACTGCTATATGTATAGAATAATTTATTAGATTGTTCCCAATAGTTATTAGAAAATGATTATGAATAAAAGAGATTTTGAGATTTATTTAAAAAGAT